AAACATTACTCGTGTCTATTAATTCCAAATTGTACGAGAAGATCGTGCGATTTTTTGTTTATAGTTCACTCAACAAAATTTCAGTAAAAAATGCGAAACGACGCCGTTCATCTCCGTCTATTTGACGGCCGATTTTCAGTCCATCGCGCAACTGAAATGCATAAAAAAGATTAGTTCTTACGGCTTTAAAATTTTATTCATGTTTTTTAAGTACAAAATGATAGAAAATAATTGTTTTGACATTGTTTTGGCCTTGTTGCCATAGCGACTTAATTCGGTACTCCTACAGAGTACAATTAACGCTATAATTGTACTCCTCTCGACCAATCAGAGTCGAGTAATTTTGTTGAATGTACTATAACAGGAGAACTCCTGACCAGAGGTTCTAATAAAGCTTCTGATGCTCGCCTTGACGTTCATGCACGTGGCTTTTGGGAAATGCAGAGATCTGCATTCTTTGATGTTAGGGTGTGTCACCCAAATGCAGAGTCCTACAAAGACCTCACCCCCCAGCAAATATATCACCTGCATGAGAATGAGAAGAAGCGCAAGTATGCTAGCAGAGTCTTGGAAATTGAACATTACTCCATTAGTATTCACTACAACTGGAGGTATGGCAGATGAGTGTAGAAGATACCACAGTAGGCTCGCCGAACTAATTGCAAACAAGAAAGGAGAAGATTATGCTACCACTGTATCCTGGATACGAGCAAAGGTTTCTTTCTCCCTTTTGAGATCAGCTCTCCTATGCCTGAGGGGCTCAAGAACCACAAGAAGAGTACTTAGGAACAAAAAGGACATAGACTTGGATGTCGAGACTCTGCAAATGCAGCAATTAGCTAAATATTTTTAAAACACTCATCAATAATTCATGAAGGAAACACAATAGAAATCATGACCATGAAGGAGGTTTTATATCTGATTTAGAAAACTCATTAATAATTCATGAAGAAAACACAATAGAAATCATGACCATGAAGGTGATTTTATATCTGATAAAGATTCGTCTTCATTT